CCACACGGTTTTCATCAACAAGTTTGGGCATTGTTGTTGTTGTTTTTTTGCGAACCAACCGCGAGCCATCTGCTTCTTGGCATACACATGTACATATATACATACATACATATGTACAAGCATACTCACAGATCTCGTGCCATTTAGTGCCAGGCTCGGTGCCAAAAAACCCCCAAATACTTCATTATTAAACTTTATACAGGTACATACAGTCAGGTACAAAAGTATTGGCGATTCAATATGTTCTCATTATATTGTTGGTTTTATCAAATGTACATACAAAACTGTATAATTACTGCAATTATAAACTATTTTTGCATGCAATCAAATAATTAATTTGTAAACATGCTTTTATTACAAGTACACGTCATGTTACAATGGTACAAAAGTATTGGCAATGAAACTGAGCACATCTCATCCTCAAGGCTTTGTTATTTTGACTTTAGCACTTCAGCTGCCGATACTTTTGTTCATGACTGTATGTACACACACACATATGTATATACATACATACACACGTATGTTTAGACAATGAAGGCCCACAGACAAAAATGGCATGTAAGAAATTTCCCCGAATTCTGCGCACCTCTTTTGGCTAGCGAATAATTAAGTTGTATTTGTTTTGCAAAGCTTCTAATACCCTTCGTCTCACTAACCTATCCCTATAAGTTAATAAGACGAATGTCACATGCAGCTAGAGCTTTTCGGTTTGGCGATTTCTGCGTTGGCAGCATGACTCATGAGTTTTTTAAATTATCACTGTGTACGGTGTAAGCACACACATTGACATATGCTTTTACACATATGTATGTACATACGCTTGAAAAGCTCTCCAATTCTGAGAATTGGCTCGGCGAGCTTTTATCTTTACACCAACACGCGCGCACACACAGTGAAACAGCTGCTGACTAATGCCAACACATGAAAGCTGGGTTGACAGCTTTTTGAAACGAGGCAGACTGCAAAAAAAAATTTAAATTCTTAACGTATTTTTATGCCGGGATATAAGAAATATATTTGGTCCTTCAGTTTGGCTTGTTGATATTTTATTGTGAATTAAATTCATTGAAATATTTTAAATTAATGTTATTATTATTTAATTTGATTATGTATATTATACTGTTTTAACATCTCAGAGAAAAAATATATCTACATATGAATGTATATGATATTCAGTTGCGCTCTACATAAGTCCATAATACATATACATATAAATATATAAAGAAATACACAGATACATACATATATATGTACATATGTGCGCATTTCTATTCCTTGTTTAAATTTAAAGATTTAAAGGCTTCTTCCATAAGTATTTATATATGTATGTACATATCTGTCTTATGTATGATGTATGTACATTTCTACATGAAAATATAGCTACAGTTGTCCTTTATATATATGTATGTATGTATATATATATATTTGATGCCATTGCCGGCCGGCCGGCGAACCTCAGATACACTTGTTTGTTGTGGCCAGGGTTGAGAAGGTGCCAGGCAATTGTTGCACAAACGCATTGTACAGCACTTGAAGCCAAAGTAAAATTGTGACGTCACACATTCAAAACTTATAGCTACGAAAATTGTGTCTTTTTATCAAGTTTATAGGTAGTAGCATTGCATTTGACACACATTGTATTAATATCATATTTCTATTTTGTATCACTTCTAATGAATTCTTTATTTCTAAATACATCATTTTTCTGATTGTGGTGACGTAACAAGTTCCAACAAGATTTCTTCGCTGCAGAACCTTGCTGTGGCTTTTGTGAGCAAAAGCACGCTCCACACGAAGCTTTCGCCTTTGCGAGCGCACAAGAGTATCTGTGTAAAGCTCTAACGCACACATGCCCAGCCAGTTATCTGGCTATGGCAAACTGGTTTGTCGCTGTGCTTTTTGAATTTCACAACGAAACTAAATTCGTCAGATTACAATTGCCACAGTTTGGTGCACTTTTCTGACTCGACTGGCGGTTCTCGTAGCGATCCGTCGATTTAATATCAAGTGAATACTACAAGCAAGCAGTTGAGTCACACTCAGCTCGGTTTGCTATTGAATGTGAAAAGTGTTAAATATACAAAGGCCATACACAGCTAACTCCTATCAAAGGATAGAAAGTGTTGAAGAAAAATCGTTGAAAATTTATATTCTTACAATTTTGTTGTTGTTCTACGTGGAGCAACAACTGCGAATTTTGTCGGTGAACATTTTTTTAAGCAACGGCAACGAGCGTTGAGACATTCAAGTGGTGGTTCAAAAAACCACCCAATAAATTGCGTCGCTAAAAAAAAAAAGCAAGTGAATTTTGTCGGTCAGGTCTTTAACACCCGGCCACCAGCGCTTGAGGACACAAGTTACAAATTTATGTAAGTTATTATGGAAATAGGCATATATTTGGTGTTTCAGTATGATTCAGTTTCATATACTATATGGCCAAAGCTCTTCGTGGTGTTTAACAATGCGGCCGGCCGCCATATTGAATTAAGTAAAGTGCCAGCAACAATTACAGTTCGAACATATATATGACATGCGTACATATATACATACATACGTACATACATACATACGTACATACATACATACGTACATACATACATACGTACATACATACATACGTACATACGTACATACATACATACGTACATACATACATACGTACATACATACATATATGACTACATACAAGCATACATATATACATACATATATACATCCATACATACAAACATACATACATACATACATACATACATATATACATACATACATACATATATACGTACATACGTACAGCCCACTATGCCCTTTGTAAATACACGTACATATACACATGCACACTGTTTATGCGTAACAAAGATTTTCTATCGCGCAGACGTCAGCAGCTGACGACACACACAGATGCGCATTCCCACACAGAAACACACACACACACACACACACACATACACACGAGCGCAAACTTGTGGTAGGGGATTTTTTTGAGGCAGGCTTTTTTCGTGCCTATAATTACATGTGTATTTGATTGTTCTTTTTTTCGCTTTCTGTATTGCAAATGGTTGGGGGAGTGGGATAATTTTTTATAGCGCGCGCTATATGTGTGTGTATGTATGTGTGTGTTAGTACTTGGTGTTTTTCCAGCAATTAATAATTGCTTTTTGCTGTTGCTCTGGCGAACGATTTGATATGTCAACAAGATTGCGATATGCCCTATTATCTGCAGGCACACGTAAAGACTAACGTATGTGGGGATGTGTGTGTGTGTGTGTGTGTGTGTGTGTGTGTGTGTGTGTGTACAATTATCTAAATGGCACCAGGGTGGCGCACGCTGGAGATACATACACACATACATACATACATACATAGATAATTGCCGTTAACATTGGCAGCCCCGCGATCGGCAGTAGCTAACGACTGATTAGGCGTCAAGCGTTGGCAACTGCCACTTGGCGGCCATTTTGTTTATCGCCCATACATTGTGAAATTCAATTTGTAGCTTTTGCTTTTGGCCATCTTCTGCACACGCAAAGGGTGAAGGGGGGGGGGGGGGCACGAAAGCTGGGTATCACGCTTTTGCAGGGTGTATCGAATAAGGAAGCACTTCATAAAGGGCGCCTAATTTACGCTCCATAGATAATTCTTGTTAAAGTGCGCAGCTTTTTTTCAGGTGCTATCATTACACATGTATGTATGTATATGATTACACACACACACACTTATACATCACTTAGTATATATATCTAAGTACTTATGGAATCCATAAATAATATAAACTATTCTCTTTTCGTTTTCAGTCTAAAAGGAAGTTGTGTCGACGACTCTTTTAGAGCTTGTTTAGAGTTTCCCTAACAATTTCATTGTTTCTCTCTAACGGTCAATTAAAAGTGAGTATCCAAATCCTTTAACCTTCTAGATGTAAGAATCATGCCTGCTTGTTTTAAATAACGATCACTGGCTAGTTTTTAAGCATGTTTTATGAAAAAATATATGTATATTGAAAAGAGGAGTAATTCCCACAAAAAAAAAGAGGAGTAATTCCCACAAAAAAAGAGGAGTAAATCCCAACAAAAAAGGAGTACATCCAAAAAAGGAGTAATTCCATTAAAAAAGGAATAATTCCAAAAAAAAAAAAAAAATTTAAAAAAAGGAGTAATCCAAAAAAAAAAAAAAAAAAAAAAGTGTACATAAAAAAAGAAAAAAAAATATGTATATATTTAAAAGGGAAAACAAGGAGAAAAAAAGGCAAAAGAAAAAAGGAAAACATATGGAAAACATTACTAACAAACATGAATGTCGCCTAAAAAAAAAAAAAAACAACAACAATAATAAAACAGAAAAAAAAAAACACCCAACACTCACACAACTCATTCATTTGCTGTACGAATCCAGCTAAAAAAAGAATCGCTCTAATCTAAAACTCAATGGTCGGAGATATCAAGGCGAGTTATTAGTTGCCATTATGTTGATGTCTCTGGCCAATTGACAATATGCCCATGATCTCTCTGGGGTTTGCCCCCCGTACACAACATTTTGCACATTCCACAACATAATGTTGCGCGTGGCCTATGAAAAATGGAAACGCGCTTCACAACGTCGTCGATCTGTGTAATAACGAAATCTTTTTTTCTCTTGTCTACTTTCTTTCACATAAAAACCAAAAATACCAAAACCAAAACCAAAAACAAAAAACAAAACTCTAAAATGCGCTTGCTCCACTCAACGACATATCCTGAATTATAAAAAAAATATATAAAAAATTGTACAAATTTTAAAAATTTGTACTAATTTTGAAATCCTGTCGAACCGAAACCAATCAAAACCGTTCACCGCAAAAAACACAATTGAAATTTTGACAATAATTGCGAATATATCAGCCACGTTCAAAATGGCATTCAGCGTCGAATTCCAAGCCAGCCAAAATAGGCCCCACAGCGAATCCAACAACAACAACAACAGCAACAGCAACAGCAGCAGCAGCAACAGCAGCAACAGCATCGATCAGACCAAGAGCAACAGCAACAACTGTCAGAACAAGAACAACAACTCCGATTATATTAACGGCAACTGCACAAGCGGCAAACAGACGGAATACCGAAAATCCCAAAGATATAATATTGATGATCCAGGAGCCGGCACGAGTACAGGCAACAACATACGAGGCGAGGGGACAGCAGAAAAGCAACGTAATAGCCGCTGGCGAGAGAATCTACTCAGCAAATTGCAATTGCTCGCCGAAGAGAATCGAGAGAATAGCGCATACGAGGGATTCGCCCATGTTGACATCGACAACAACAACAACAACAACAACAATTCCGATCGTTATAAATACGCAGCCGAATCCAAGAATTATACTGATCAAGGTGCCCACGCACAGCAGGAGCAGCAGGAGCAGCAGGACAGAGGAGAGCGCGCCTCGAACTCGTCTTATCAGAATACCCTTTTTACCAGGCTCGGTACCAACAACGGCTTCAGTGAAACATACTTTGCCTACGGCGAGCTCTTCAGTAAACTATACAACTTCGGCGACAGCATCCCGTATCGCGAGTCAAGCGAACCCATTGACTGGGATAATATACCCACCAGAACGGTGCTCGAACAGCTCAGGGTTTCCAACAATACTAAACCAGGTCGCGAACGACCAGATCCTAGATTCGCCGTTGACAACAACAGCAACGGTGACGCAAACGGTCCAGGTTTCGAGCACGCCCCAGACTCTGGCGTCAATGGCTGGCATACAGCTGACAGGTGCAGACATGCTGTCGTCCCGCCAGGATATGAGTGGAGCAATGCCTACTGCTACAGTTGAAGAGATAGATGTTCCGGTGTTCATTGATGGTGAGTACTGTGTGTGTTAATGTGTGCGTAACTTGTACCCAGCACTCTCTCATTACTGTTCGAAAGCGAAACGAGTTGCCAACACTCTCATGCATGGCCAAACAATCAGTTGGAGAAAGAGTCGGATAGCAGGCCGTGAACAGGCGCCCGTTAGACTGCCCGTCGGTTCGGTCGGTCGCCTGTTTCGGCCTATGACATCGAGGTACATTACCACCTAATGATGAAGCAGAAGATCACAGTGCAATGACCCATTGCGACCCCCAAGCAGTTCATAGAGTAAAAGTTTTCCTTGCACAGCGCCCCCACGGATGTGGGCCGGACGAGAGTCTGGCTCACAGTAATCCTTGTGGCTGCAAAGAACTTTTTGGTCACACATTCATTTTAGGCTCACAATTCTCTCAATTATCCAAAATTCTTGTCCTACAACGATTGCCAACTTTATATGAGGAACTCAAGAGGTATATAAACATGGTCTTAGACGAATTTGTATACTCTCACAGGGGGCATTATAATTTTGTCAAGAAGTAGCTCACGTTTAGACGTAGATAGCTGCGAAGTATTCATATATATATATATATTCTTGATCAGCAATCGATCGTCATGAAACTCTGCAGAGCTATTTATAGCAAATAGTCAAACTTATTTTCTTTCATTTGAGCAAAATATTAACAAAAAAGAGACCTCCAAAACTCGCTCGAATAATCCGATTCCTCAGGCTTTTGACAAAAATTTGTAAATAAATATGATTGCCGCTTGGCTTCCAAACAAAAATGATGTTACTTTTTTTTTGCACAGAATAGTTGAGACATTCACATAGGCGTAGCGTATTTAAATGTATCTATACATCTATCTATCTGTCTATCTATATATCTATCTACACAGTTTGATATCAAGGGAAATTTAGCCATGAAGATTGCGTGATTAAATTATCTAAACCTAAAATTATTCAGAGACAGTTTGTCTATGGATCAATATTAGAACTTCCTTCCTTCCTACGACCCTTGCGAATGTGCTGAGTTTGCTTCCACTGAAAACTTGTGGGGATTTTCCTGAACAGAAAATAGATTTGTGCATTTAATTGTAAGTGTACCAAAATTTGTCGAGATTAAAGCTGCAGAGAGATTACTTTGTCTAGAACAGATAGAAAGTGGGATATACCGACCTGATCCATTGTATATATATAATATATAAAGAATTTCTTGACAAGATTTGATACCCCTGACATGCATTAAAAATGATGTCGCTTTTTTTTTTTTTGAATTTTAATAAACATGTTTGCGACTTTCGCTATAGAAAAATTGCTAACCTATCCAATATGAAGGCGTATTTGCTGGTATGAAAATGATGTCGCTTTTTTTTCTGCGCTCTGAAAATATATGCATACCTCAATATGCATAAATAAACTGAAGCATACAGTATATAATATATATATATTATATTATATATATATATATATATATATATACGTATATAGTATCAGCTGGGCCGCCTTTGTATCTTTTAGTCTCTGCAAATTGAATTTTACATATGGAAAACCCGTGAATGAGTCATAGCTAGATTTTCTAATAATAATTGACAGTCAATTAAACGGTTTTCGGTTTCTTATAATGTGGTTTAACAAATGTGATTTTTATAGCAAATGACTCGAGCTCATAAAAATGGTGCATTTTGTAACTAGTAGATATTTTATGCCATTTTCTTATCTAACAAACATTATAGGAAAATCTAAACTTTTTGTGTGAAATGAGACTTATATAGATTTCTTTTCATAAAACAAAAATTAATTGCGAATTCTTATTCGCTTTGGTTTTAGAAATGCTAAAAAATTCGACATATTTGTTTTATATTTTTATTAGTTTATTCTCCAGTTCTTATCAGCAGGTTACTTTTGTGCCTTCTGTTCATGAGTTTTGTGCTTTCTTTTATTTATTTTTTTTTTTTACAATAATGAGTCATGCGTTTTGCCAGGCTGTCATTTAATTTATTAATATTAACTGCGCATTTTGTGCCCAACGCATTCTTAAATGCATTTACGTAAACGAAAAACCTTTATTCTTGCGGTAAATACCTTTACCAAATATCCAAATATGGTCATAAATTTGTCAAAGTTTACCAAACATGTTAAGAAGAGCATAGTCCAGTACTTACATGCATATATATATATATATTGTTCAACCCCTTCGATTAAACATCTTGATATTTAAAAGTATCTATAGAATACATAAACTTGTAAGAAGACTTTTGAATTTTCGGACACTTTGACCAGCTCACAGAGCGCGAGAGAAGGCATTTAATTGGCTGCAGCAAGATCCAATCCAAAAGCCAGCCCCTTCGTATTTCCCCTTATCACCTTTGCTTAGGTATCAAACAATGTCTCCATAAATGGGCAAATGGAAAATAGATTGACGCGCGCTCTTCCAAACCGCAAAAGTCCAGCCCATTTGCTGTCCGTTATATGTATTCATACTTATTCATACATATGTATGTATTTATCTGAATTTTTAGTTTCTTTTAATTGTCATTGGTTATCGAAACATCACACGTCATAATTCAAGTGCAAAGGCCAGGGCTTACTCATGACCTAGATTTATTTGACTACTTTTCTTGTTGACGTGTGTTAATTGTATAAAAGTGAATACGTGCACTTTCATCAATAATATAAGACACACTTAGTTTTAATATATGAATATCCAAATTATTTATGTTGAAGACATTGGCATTGAATGGTTAGATTTTCAATCCTTGCTCCCATTGTTGTGAAATTCGATTAGCATGATGTGCAAAAATATGAGGGAGGGAGAGAGAGAGTGAGAGGCTCGTTCGGTGAGAGCCACTTGTAGGAGTATGTGTACGCTCTCTCAGTATGTTAGCGATCAAAGACACTCGCGTTGTCTCGCTCTTTGGCGCCAACAGAGCGGGACAGCTGATTTGTGCCGGCCGGCAGTTGTGTTCTCTGAGCATACACGCGCACACACACAGCCATACATTTGTAGACATATTGCACACAGATATTTTTGCATCGCGCATACGCATAGTGGTACCCCTGAAGAGCAGCTTATGTACATATTTATGATGTATCTTTATGCATAGCAAACACATTAAAATGATGTTTGTTTTCAAATCAAAATAACGCACATGATTTACTCATATTAGCTGCAAAAAAGTAGATAAACAGGATAGATAAACATAACTTCGCATAATTATCAAGCAAAGCCAATTGAATAGTTCGCATAAGTGCATTTGCTAGTTACGCATTTGTTCTAAATGTTACATTAATTCGCAAAGCTTTTGTCGCTCTGATGAAATTCGAATGCAAGCGTATTGGTGCATCAAATCGCCAAAACTACACACAGTCAGACATAATAGGTTGGTAACACGGCCATCAGATACATCCAAACACAGTGTAATTGTCCAAGAACAAGTTCCTGTAAGACACACATTGGCCAGAGCGAGACAACAGCAGTGCGCAATAACACTTGTTGGCGTAGGGCAGGTTGTGCATATGTGTTGGTGAGCTGCTGTTCGTACGCTCTCGCGATCTCCGACTTCGCACAGCCGCATAAAAAGCGACTGTTTGCAACACGAAGTCAGTTGTCGTTGGCCGTTTGATACGTAAAGAACGCGCTTCACAGCGGCGCGCAGAGCCGTTTCCAAAGCCGTGCAAAAGGTGAATATTTATGCTAAAAATAATATTTGGACAAATTTAAATTAATTTCTCGAAAATATACAAATTATTATTAGAGATTTACTTTATTTTTGTGGCAAAATAATTCGTTTTTGCTTGTTTGTTTTTTTTTTTTTCGGCAGACTTTTTGCCAATCTGCAACAAGTGTGTTGTCATTTTTAGATTGAACTTTAGATTCTTTTTACCGCTGCAATGCGATTCGCAACTTAAAATGACAATCAATTTATGCTCCTATTCAAAGAAGGTCAACAAATTTAGTTATAAACACAAAATTAACAGCTAAATCTAAAACAAGCAACAAAAACAAACCGAATAGCATTTATTTGATTTGATTCACCTTTGATTTGATTTCATCCCCTTTGGCCAATTCGATAAACGCAAACACTGTGCAAAGCAGACATGCACGATCATGTCTGTTTTGAGCAAACATCATGTGCGCAATTCCCGCTCGCGTTCTCTCTGTTGTATTTAGGTGCCTCTTTTTCTAGCTGTGCCCCGACACTCCAATAGAAAACTTATTGCAAATTAACAATATAGGATAGAATGTTTCAATTTTTTTTATGTAAATTGAATTTATTTTATTTACTAAACTAAAATTTGTATTTAAATGTTTTTAATGCCGCTTCAAGCAGCAATTTGTTATTGTATTTTTGTCTTCGTTTTCGCTTGTTGAATTTCACAACAATGTTGAGCCGAGCGAGACAGCGAATGAGTCAGCTTGCGGCGTGTAGCTAGTTGTCTCTGTCTGTTTATTGGGCAGCCGCTTGAAAGTATGCAGCATATTTTGAATTCAACTTCTAGTTGGTATATTGGAATCTTATTAGACAATTGCATACTTAAATGAATGTGCCGAAATACTTATAAAAGATGGTCATTGCAAAGGCAACTGGTGAAAATAATTATGAAAAGCAACTCGAATGCACGTTTGAATTGTATTAGCTTGTATTAATAATGATTTGTATTTTCTCAGAATATCTGGAAAATATAGAAGCAACGTCGTCGACGAGCAGCAGCAGCAACAAAAGCGGGGAGATTGGAAAAGAGATTTGTACTGAGACGGATATATTTGATTTTGACTTTGATATAAACCTGATTGCCGAGGATCACATTGAGCGCAAGGAAATGGATCAGTGCAATCTGGACATGGATAGCAATTACAGCGACAACATTAACAGCGACATCAACGGAATGGATGAACTTCAGTTTCAACTATTGGAAGAGGGCGAGGAGGAGGCACTTGACATGGGCTCCATGTGCAATGGCATCGACATCACAAGCAATCTGGGCGAAGAGCCCGATCTGGGCAACATACTGACCAGCGCCGAGAATCCCATGCTCAGCAATTTCTCGCAAGGCTCCATGCTCTACTCATCCAGCCAAACGAAATGCATCTACGAGCTGCCCATGTTGGCGGATGAGAACAGCATGGAAAACTATTATAACGCCAGTCAGCAGTCGCTCGGCTTCGGTCTCGGGCTCGGCATCAGCCACCAGCTGGATGGTGTTAACGAGGATGCCTGCAGTGCTGTGCTCGTCCAGGATGCTCCGCCAGCCAGCATGTGCCTGGGCGTCAAGCGCACTGCCTCTGCGGCGGGTCTCGTGAACGCAGCAGAGTCGATGCCCATGAAGCGCAGCAACCTCTTGCATCTTAACATCAACAAATCACAGCTCATCAGCCAGCCCGATATCATCAACACGCCCGACATCATCGAGCAGGTGCTCAACTTTGACGATGTAAGCGAGAGCCTTCTATACAAATGTAACAGCCAACTAACTAACTCTCTCCTGCAGGCCAATTCAGTTCGTAATAATGTGACCAACCAGGATCTGATTTATGAGGAGCTGCGCAGCACTGAGGATAACACCGCATTCACCATACTACCCGACTTCTCAGCGCCGAACACGCCCAATAGCAATTATTCGGTCAGCAGCACAACGCGTTCGCATCAGGCCACCTGCCAGACGGGCTTTGCTGGCTTCATAACCGCGCCCGTGTCACCCGCCTTCTCCACAGCGAGCACATCGCAGTTCAGTGTCACCACATCGATCACTGGCAACTCCAGTTCGAAGCGCAAGCGCGGACGTCCCGCCAAGGAGCACGCGGAGGGACCCGATCCAGAGCTGATGGCCCAAATGACCGAGGACGATGCGAAGGCGTATCGGGATCGCATCAAGAACAACGAGGCTAGCCGCGTCTCGCGCAGGAAGACCAAACAGCGCGAGCACGAGGAGATGAAGGAGGAGCAAGATCTGCAGGCTGAACACGAACAACTAACATACACGCTGCAGCTGGTCATGCGGGAAGCCAGACGTTACCAGGAATACCTCAAGCGAAACTATCACAAGAATAGCACGTATGTCAAGCCCGAGCCGGACCACTGAGATTCTCATAGCCATGCCATAGTCAGTCAAACTCTCGTACCTCTCGAGTGTTGCATATTGCGACGCAGAGCTCTAGTTGTTAAATTAAGCTAGTATTCATCCATACCTAAGCAGGGATTGTTGTCGTTGAAGGAGTCGCTGTAATGTGTGCGGCACAGAGCCGCACAAAAAAAAAAAAAAAAAACACAAAAACCTTAACCGAACAGATTATCAATTGTTCGAACAAATTGATGGAAAACTTTTAGAAAACAAAATTCTTTTTTTTTTTCTTGTTACCAACTAAGTGATTATGCATACTTACTTTCAAAGGCGTCACATAGAATGCGCACGGTTTTTTAAAAATTTTGTATTAGTACATTTTATTATGTTTGCAATTTGTCAAATTTTTTAATCACATGTTTTTTACACCTATGTTATATATATATAAATAATTGTAATCGAAAAAAACAAAACCTATCTTCAAGCTCGTAATCGACGGCAAAACGAAAACGGAACAAACAAAAAAAAAAACACGTGAAGTAGCGATTAATTACAATTACAAATATATACTCGTTTTAACAAGAAAACAAAAATTGTTACAAAAAAAAAAAAAAATAATCAAAAAATATGTAGAACAAAAAAAAAATGAAATATTGTTAAGAATGCATAAATATATTCCACAAACATGTTTAAGATATATATTATATACTTATAAACGTTTCAAATAAAATGCATGTCCTCGAGGTCATAGCAAAATCTAATTACTGTGCGTATTTTCTTCCGAAAATAGAATGGCGATTTTTAGTTCAATTCACTCGTTCGTTTTCTGGCTGTGAACTAAATCAGTCGGTCGTTCATGAACAATGAATTCTGCTCAGCAATGCAGTCGGTCATGAACTATTCGCTTGGTTCAGTTATGCATTCAATCATGAACGATCTATTCTGTTTTCTTAAGAACTGAACGTCCCCAACGAATATATTGTTAATAAACGACTACATCGCTCATGAACGACTGAACGAGTGCGGAATACATCGTTCATGAACGACTGAATAGTTCACTAATCACTTCAGTAGTTCATTTTAACGACCCGTTCAATCGAACTTTGTCTGAACCAGACGACACAACTCTAACTGAAAGCATTCTGAAAATGAGTTACAGTAGTCACTCGCTAACACGATCGGCTAGTTAGAATTTTCATTTCTGGTTGAATTGACAAATACATGAAAATAAATTGATTTATTAGTTTCGAGCAGAAAGGAATTTCTTTTGGCATTTACAATTCCTTTTTTTTTTTTTAAGCCTTAAGGCATTTTTCATTTGTTTATTGCACTTGGGATTTATAACACGAAGTAAAATCATAAAAAACTTTTGAATCAAATATTAGACTATTTTCATAATGTTATTGTTGGAACCAAAACCACGGCAACTATTGTCCATTCCTGACGCTCTGCAGCCAATTGGTGTCCAGCGCGCGATGAACAGAGAACAGAGATTGGAGCATACACCAGGTGGGGCTCCAGTTGAAGATGAGATTCCGGCAGCTCGAGTAGGCCGTGAGCAGGGCGCACTGCAATTATATTGGGCTGTTGCGTGTCGACTGATTGGATTGCAGTGGGTCTCATTGTTGTTGTTCAGGTATTTGTCAAGGTATCGCGCGCTGGCCGAGCCGTGTTGTTGTCATTTTACGCGGCTGCTTCCTGGGAGTTGATGTACCTCAGATAGCGTATGCCTTGAAAGGTTTGCGCCGTAGCGTTTGTCGCGTGGCAGGCGAAAAGCAGCCAATTTCTGGGCTGTACTTTGTAGGCGAAGCGCATGAAGATGCACGAATAGAGCGTCAGAGCTGCCAATAAGAAACAAGATAAACCCAATTAGATTCGCACACGATTCACCTAATCGGAAACATTTCGGCTGGGCACACGCCGTGTGCCTGTATCAGGCTTATCGCGCGTGCCTGCGTTCTGATTAGCACAGAATTAAGTATCATAAACAAATGTGTCTGGGCAAGAGCTCTGATTACCGCAGACTATGGAAATTTTTTTTAGCAGCTGCTGTTGATAAACGGGTTTGCAGCCAAAAGCTTTACCTAATGTCATTCGGCCGGAGATGAACTTTGGATGCTTCGATGTGTCCGCAATGGCAGCCACTGGAATACCCCAATTGGCGACTGGGCCCCAGAAGTGGGTGCTCATAAAGTAATTGCGCCACTCGGCAGCGCTCGAGCTGGACATTGAGCGTCTCATTGACATTGTGCTTGTTTCACTGTAGATAGTTCCACTTGGAGTTACTAGAAAAAAAAAACTGATTCTGATTAGCGTTCTCGTCGAATCCATATGCGTGTAGACTATAGATTTCAAGGTCTTACAGGTTGTTGCTGTTCTTGTTGTTGTTGTTGGTTTTTGTTACGTCTATGGCGTAGTTGTTGATACTATTAACTAATTTAGCTGCAAATCGTTTAGAAAGTGGTATGGTGTTTATACTATAACAAAATAAAATTTGTATTGAGTTGTGTTCAAAAGTTATGTAAATGTAATATGTTTTTAGAGAGTAGGACACAAAGCTTACACGAAACCAACAACTGTTCAGCACTAAAATAAACTAATGCCAAATAGTGCCAAGCACGTATTGCTGGCATATTTAGGTCATTTTTTTTTAAATATTCACTGCATGCATCTATTTCCAACGATGTGGCAACTCCATGGTGGCAGTCACTGCCACGTCTAAAAATCATTGGCGCCAAAAATCCTAAATTTAAATTAACGATATTCCAAGACATGCTTTTCTCTACTTTCTTGTGTAAATTACATAACTGTAATCTATTAATCTTTAATTTTATTTTAATAAAATACCATTTTTATCAATAATTATATATACAATATACATGTAACTTATAAAAGACTTGAATATATATATATATATATATGTGAATATTACTCATGCAATAAATTATATAAAATTATTCTTTAGAATTTTCTATTTTCTGCAGCGAGGATAAGCCGAGGAAACGGCAAGCGGTTGAGTTTTGCAACTCTTATAAATTATTTTGTATTAAACAACGTCCAACAAGTTCCGACTAAAGATTGTACAAACTTTGCATCAGCCACGTTGTTGGCAATTGTTTGCATACCAGCCAATATTTAAAAGCTTTTTCACGTAAAGATTGCACTTGAGTTGGCTTATCACACCACCAAGGTGACTATAAAAGGTGACACTTGTCCAAGAGCAAGCCATCAGTTGAGGCACAATGAAACTTCAGCTTACAATCTGTTTGGTTCTAGTGGCTGCATGCGGTTTGGTCAACGCCTACAACGGCGATGGTCAGCCGGGTTGCAAGACGCAGGAGGAGCTGGACGTTGGAATCTACCGTGATAACTGGGATGCTACGTCCTACTGGAAGTGCGAGACACTTAATGAGCCCGCCATCAAGGTGCGTTGTCCGGATGAGACGGGTTTTGTTGATAGCCTGAAGGACTGCGTTAGCTGGGATGATTGGACGTGGGAGAAGCCAGTCGCTCCACCCAGCGAGGTTGACGAGTAAACGAAAAACTTGATATTGAAAAGCTAAACGTGACATTTAATTATTGTCATTATATTAAATACGAAAACTGCGCTAGGCGGCTTATAAACGCAACGAAAAAGAATTAAAGAAATTTAATTGTCTGATGAGTGTCTGTTGGGAGCTTTAGTCGCGGGTGCGCAGCCCCCAGATGGAGGTGCGACGCGTGCCCACAGTTGGGCGTCCTACCGAACTATGTATAAACTTGTTAATGCCTATTTTGGGCATTTGCTTCTCGAGCACCTCCATGGCGGCATCCGACAGCATGCCGAAAATGTCCAGATAGGTGAGTGAAGTCATCTTCTTGAGTTCTCTGCATCGTTGAGAGAGATACAGAGTAGAGTGTTAGAATGATAGGATACTGCGGGATTATCTGTTGGATAACTTACATAAAACTAGCAGCGGGTATGAGATAGCAACGCGACACGGACAAATACTCAAGACTGTTGAATTTCATGATTGCCGCAAGTGCTGCCGGCGTCAGACTGTTGCAGTCGGAAAGATCAAGTTCCAGCAGCTGGGGGCAGCGTTTCTGCAGTGTTGCAACATCTGAAAGAAGAGGTAGATGCATGTCAAATGGTTTCACGCATGACCTTTGAGCTGTAACTAACGTGTGTCGAAGAGCACACGCCTGCAGCCGGCCACATTCAATCGGATTACATTGGATGGGATGTGAGTAACTAGCGCGGTGACGGCATCAGCGCTTAAATCAGTCCACGAGATGTTCAGGCTGTTCAGTTTCGACAGCGATTCCATCATTTGACGCACGCTCTGAGCAGTTATGCCACTGGCCATGGACAGATTGAGGGTCTCCAGCGAACTGTTCTGCGAAATCTCAAAACAAATCTCATCATTAAGCTCAGCATGCTCCAGGCTGAGCTTCCTTAGCTGACGACATTGGGCTAGTAATGTGCGCAAGGAGCTCAGTGAAATCGAAGCAAGACTCAAGTCCAAATATTGCAGACGAGATTGAAAATCTGTGGACGATTCGCACGTAAAAGCTGGATCTTGTATCTGTGGGGGATGAAAGCGATTAGATAACATTGGAAATGTGTCCAACGTTGTTTGGTCTTACATCAGCCTGGGCCAGGCGCAGAACCGGCACACCGCGCCTTACCACCTGCTCCAAGGCGTGGGGACGCAGTGTGCGCAAGCCCAGATCCAGACGTGTCCACAGAGTCTCATCGCGCGCACAGCAATTGAAGCGTCGGCAAACAGTTGCGATGCGCAGCAAAGTCTTCTTTGGCAGCCATTTGAAGATGTCCAGCAAAATCTCGTCGGACAATCTATCAAAATAGTTGATGCCGCTGCTGATGTGCGCGCTCATCGAGGGCGTGCGATAGACAAAGAAGTTGTCAGTAGGCCCCAGTCGGGTTGTCAGTGTCGTCGGCGTCGTCGTCGGCGGCGGCGGCGTTGCCGTCGGCTTCTTCTGCCGCAACAACGCCTGCTTGCTGGTCGAGGGCAGCAAGCTGAGCGGCGTCTGTTGCAGCGGCGGCGGCGGCAGCAGGGACTCAATTTGATTATTGCATGTGACTGTGGCCAGAGGATTTCTGGTGCGCTTGCTTGGCGAGTTGGAATTGCTGCCACACTCGCTGCTGACCAGCGCAGTGCGCTTGGCCTGGGCCAGAGCGTGCAGCTTCTCGGCGGACTGCAGCAGCAAACGCTCCTGACTTTCCTCGCAGAACACCTCAATAATGGTGTTGTTATTCACGCTGCTGCTGTCCAGCGTCGAAGCCGTCGAGTTGAGACTCATGCGTGTCTGCTGATGTGCCATGCGTGGCACACTGGTGCAGGGTGTTGTCTC